TGGACTTATGTGCTCGTCATAGATTGTCCATAACGAACAACATGTTCAAGCATAAGGGTGTCCATATGTGCTCTTGGCACCAGGACACCCTATGCCTCATTGCGATGATCGACTTTGTTGTCATCTCATCTGATCTAGGGCTGCATGTCTTGGACACTTGGGTGAAGAGAGGGGCGGAGCTGTCCACTGACCACTATCTGGTGGGGAATTGTCTCCAATGGTGTTTGAGGATGCCGGTCAAACCTGGCAGGCACAAATGTATTGTGATGGTCTGCTGGAAACGTCTGGCAGTCTCCTGTGAGACAGAGCTTTAACTCCCACCTCTGGGACAGCTTTGAACACATTCCGGGGGAAGTGGGGAACATTGAGTCCGAGTAGGCTATGTTCCGTGCCTCTATTGTTGAGATGGCTTATCGGAGCTGTGGCTGCAAGATTGTCGTGCCTGTGGTAGCTGTAACCCTCGAACCCAGTGGTGGACACCGGTGGTGAGGGATGCTATCAGGCTGAAAGAGGATTCTTATCAGGCCTTTTTGGCCTGTGGGACCCCGGATGCAGCTGATGGGTACTGGCAGTCCAAGCGACATGTAGCTCGGGTTTTCGCTGAGGCAAAACCTCAGGCGTGGGAGGAGTTCAGAGAGGTCATGGAGAATGATCTCCGTACGGCTTTGAAACAATTCTGGTCCACTATCCGGCATCTAAATTCAATTCAGTTTATTTATCCATCCTTCCATCCATTTTCTTCCGCTTATCCGGAGTCGGGTCGCGGGGGTAGCAGCCTAAGTAGGGAGGCCCAGACTTCCCTCTCCCCAGCCACTTGGGCCAGCTCTTCCGGGGGAATCCCGAGGCGTTCCCAGGCCAGCCGAGAAATATAGTCCATCCAGCGTGTCTTGGGTCTTCCTCTGGGCCTCCTTCTGGTGGGACATGTCCGGAACACCTCACCAGGGAGGCGTCCAAAAGGCATCCTAAACAGATGCCCAAGCCACCTCAACTGGCTCCTCTCGACGTGGAGAAGCAGCGGCTCTACTCTGAGTCCCTCCCGGATGATCGAGCTTCTCACCCTATCTCTAAGGGAGAGCCCAGACATCCTGCGGAGAAAACTCGTTTCGGCCGCTTGTATCCGAGATCTCATTCTTTCGGTCACAACTCAAAGCTCGTGACCATAGATGAAAGTAGGAACGTAGATCGATCGGTAAATTGAGAGCTTCGCCTTTTGACTCAGCTCTCTCTTCACCACGACAGACCTGTACAGCGCCTGCTTCACTACAGACGCTGCACCTATCCGCCTATCGATCTCACGCTCCATTTTTCCCTCATTCGTGAACAAGACCCCAAGATACTTGAACTCCTCCAATTGGGGTAGGACCTCCTCCCTGACCCGGAGAGGGCACTCTACCCTTTTCCGGCTCAAGCCCATGGCATCGGATTTAGAGGAACTGATCTTCATCCCGGCCGTGTCGCATTCGGCTACGAACCGATCCAGCGAAAGCTGTAGATCACGATCTGATGAAGCCAATAAGACCACATCATCTGCAAAAAGCAGAGACGCAATCCTAAGGCCGCCAGAACAGATCCCCTCAACACCTTGGCTGTGCCTAGAAATTCTTTCCATAAAAGTTATGAACAGCATCGGCGACAAAGGGCAACCTTGGCTGAATCCAACTCTCACCGGGAACAAGCCCGACTTACTGCCGGCGATGCGGACCAGGCTCTGACACCGGTCATACAGGGACCTAACAGCCTGTATCAAAGGTCCCGGTACCCCATACTCCCTGAGTACCCCCCACAGGGTTCCCTGGGGGACGCGGTCGAACGCCTTCTCCAAGTCCACAAAGCACATGTAGACCAGTTGGGCAAACTTCCACATTCCTTCCAGGACCCTGCTGAGAGTGTTTAGGTGGTCCAGTGTTCCACGGCCAGGACGAAAATCACACTGCTCCTCCTGAATCCGAGGTTCGACTATCCGACGGACCCTCCTCTCCAGAACCCCCGAATAGACCTTACCAGGGAGGCTTAAAAGCATTATTCCCCTGTAGTTGGAACACACTCTACGGTCCCCCTTTTTGAATAGGGGGACCACCACCCCGGTCTGCCAATCCAGAGGAACTTCTCCCGATGTCCACGCAATATTGCAGAGTCGCGTAAGCCAACACAACCCTACAACATCCAGAGCCTTAAGGAACTCCGGGCGAATCTCATCCACCCCTGGGGCCCTGCCACCAAGGAGCTTTTTAACCACCTCGGTGACCTCAGCACCAGAGATTGGAGGGCCCGACCCAGAGTCCCCAGGCACAGAGTGCATGCGTGTATCGCGCCTCCGGAGACGCACGAGCGCTCCAGCTCTTCTGCCCCTCTTGCGAAGTCTCACTCTTTTGGCCAAAAAGTGCACAAGTTCTGCAGCAGGCACTAAAAAAACTGGAGTAATGTCCTCATGGGTTGTAATTCTGATGTTTAGTAGCTCCTCGCGAGTGTAGGAGCATGCAGACACATGATTAAAGCACAAAAACAGAAAAAACAGAGCGCACCAGAATGCCAGGCGACCGTACATGACCATTCCAAGATGGCGGCCCTACGGCTCATCAGTGCCAATAGGCAACAGAGGTCAATGCTTTTTCTAGCTTTTATATGATATCTATGATAGCAATGCCCCCACAGGCTTGTACAGTGAGCCACATTTTTTTCCGACCACGTTTCTTCCTTGAAGATGATGGGTCCCCACTATCCTTCTAGTTTTTAAGAATGCGTTGTGCAATTTTTAACCCAATTTTAGTAGTTTTTGCAATCTCCTTACGTTTTTTTCTGCTTGATGCATTCCAATTATTTGACCCTTTTCAAACAGACTGGCATCTTTTCCACGACCACGCGATGAGTCTTTCGACATGGTTGTTTTAAGAAATGAGAAGCAACTCATTGCATCAGTTGGGGTTAAATAACTTGTTCCCAGCTGAAAGATAATCACCCATGCAATAATTATCTAATAGGAGGCTTGTACCTATTTGCTTCGTTAAATCCAGGTGGCGACTTTTTTTTGGCCAGGCAGTGTTTTAAGATCCTGTCATATTTAGGCAGGACTCCTGTCAAAAAATCTGCGAAGTCAGTCAGAAAGTCCTTGTTGTACTTTGGAGGTCTGTATAAAGCAGCACACAGCACTGTGTGTGAAGATCCGAGCTCAAATAAGTTGAACTCAAAGTTGGAATAAAATGTTAAAGGTGTGGTTTGTTTACAGAGATAGCTCTCCCTGTAAACAGTCGCTATTCCTCCTCCTCGACCAGTCATCCTCTGAGAGCTGAAGTACAGTAAGTACAGTTCAGTGGCAAGAGTTCACAAAAAGCACTGGACTCACTGGAAGTTATCCACGTTTCAGTTATGAATAAAAAACCCAGACCGCTGGAGGTGAAGAAGTTCTTCAGAATAAAGGTCTTGTTAGTTAGCGCTCTAACATTACCCAGGGCCATGTGAGCTTCAGAGGGAACCGGGATGATATAATCCACCCAAGGAGCCAGGTCCAGCTGCTGCAGGTTGTGATGATTCAGTCCATACGCACGGAGGTGGAGGAAGGTGAGGCAGTGCCAGCCCAACAACAGGAACCTGAGAGGAGCTGATAGGATCCAAGGAGTGCTGCGGGATGAAACTATCAGATGCAGCTTTAAACCCATCAGAGAGAGCAGCCAACGCCAAACAGGCTTTCAGTCTGACCAGCTGGGCGCTGTTTCCTGTGGCGTCTGCACCCTCTGCGTGCAGGTGGAGCTGGGGCGTGGCACATGTAGGCCGGCACGTTCGACAGAAATGGAGGGGAAAAAGTTTTCTGGCCATTTTGCACAAATGGAGTCGAGTTATTAATACAGGGCCGAAGAGTAAAAAGAGTTTGGTGATTATACACCAGCCGAGAGTTGGCACCCTGAGTTATAAAAGCAAAAAACAACAAAAAAATCAAGGTTTTCAGAGCGAGGCAAGCCGACCATACTGCCGTCACCATCTTGACCCGGAAGGCTGATCTTGTCATTTCTTCCTTGTTACTGTTTCGATTGATTGTTCTGAATTAGCAGAGCCTCGTGCATTGTTCAGTCAGTTCTGTGTTCCTGTACAAGGAACTGACCATGGAACTATGTTTTTTTTTTTTTTTTTTATCTGTCCACAGGACCTGACTTAACTTTGTTAGATTTTTCTACCTGGATTATTGAGCATGAATCAGAATGTTCCTGGTACAGTTTTGTTTTTGTTTGGTCAGGATCACGTCTTGACACAGCAGTGTCCACTGCAACACTGGTGACTTGTGAACCCTGCCTCTCACACAGTGATTGCTGGACATGGACACCAGCTCTGCACAACTCGAAAAGGAAGAAGCGTGTTAAAGTAAATAAATAAAAGATGAATGCATTTTTTATCGAACTAACAAAATGGAAAGTGAGCTAGGAAGAAAAAAATCTAAATCAAATGAAATTCAGCAGGGATTCTTCTTGGTACTCTTTGACAATCTTTTTAATTCTGTTATTTTTTCAGACGCCTTCAATCTCAAGATTATGACCTTATCTCATTCCCAGATATTTTAAACCTTTCCAAATTCCTCTGATATTGAAATGTTTATGAAACCTCACCCCCTCACTGAGAGGGACAATTTCTTCTATATATCTAAACATTTTTTACCCTTTCAACTTTTTCCACTGTTGAAAACTGTATGGGCACCAGATTCGAGACTGTTGATTATGGCTGAAGTTTGGGGGGAAGTTTTAAAAAGTTAACAACAGATCATTAATCTGTGTTAGACACAGTTTAAAGAAATATTGAATTCCATATTGAGCCCGCTGCACTAAAGCCAGGTTTGCAATAATATTTACCACAGTGACTCCTCTGTAACTTATACTTGCTTTTTAGGGATTGTTGTCGGGTTGGGGGTGTCTTGTTTGTTAATTGTTAATTTAACATGCTAAAAATCAATAAATAAAATGATTAAAAAAAAAAGTTGTAACAAAAGCTCTTTCTCCTCCCTCTCCTAACCCATACAGCTGAACATGGAGAAGCTCTGCTGTGGGAAAGCTGGCTGGAGAAGCATCCAGAGACCAAAGTGGTGTCTACAGACAATCCTGGATCAGTTCCTGCTCCTTGGGATAACCCAGATACAAAAGTGATGTGGGAGAAGCATGCTACAGATACCTACTATACATACTGGGAGTGTTACTCCTACTGGGCAGCCCAGGGCTGGACTGCTGACTATCCTGGCAGGAAAGGGAATCCTGGTGGAGAAGAAACATTAGAGCTGATGGAGACTCTTGTACAGAAGCAGAGTGAAGGTGAGACTGAAGCTGAGAGCCAAGAAGCAGAAAACTATGTTGACATTTTGAGTGAGCTGTTGGGACAGAGCTGCTCTCTGGATTCACAGCCAGACAAACAGCATCTGAGTGTGTATGACAGCAGAGAACAGTCAAAGGAACAGCTTTGTGGATCTGAGGAACGTTCAGATGGTGGCAATGATCATGAAACACCTGCTGGCACTTCACAGCACGTCCCGCACCAAATAGGTAATGTTAATTACTATCAATTTTACATATGCTACATGTTCATGCAGACTATTTATGACAAAATAATAAAGGCCTAGTTTTCCTTTAGCGAATGCATATCTACTGTTGACTTACCTGCCAGTGGTAAATGGTCCACAATTTATAATATACAACCCCTGGCAAAAATTTTGTAATCACCGCTCATGAAGGATGTTCTTTCAATTGTTTTAGTTGTCCTCCGTCACGGAGCAATAAGGGAGAATTGGAAATATCCTGCATCCATCTGTGCATGTTGTGAACAAAACTTGAAAAATAAATGAGGCACCGACATCCATTTTGTCTGTGGCTAAATTTAGGTGCAAGAAAAGTCACTATCGAAAATAGGGTGCCATATCAAAATCCAAGATGGCTGCCGCCATAAATGTTTGTCCAAGTTGTCAGCATGATAACTTGAAAAATAAATGAGGTACTGACTTCCATTGTGGTGCGTGGCTACATCTACGCCTAAGAAAGTTTTCTTTTTAAGGTTCTTTTTTGATCTGGGATCTGCAATATGAGAAAGAGAGAGGCAGATTGATGAGAAATACTTGTCAGTAGTTTCGGCTATGCCTTGGAGAATTCAAGCTGTTGGAAAATCCGCAGGTGGTGCAACAAAGTACTACTGGCGCAGTGTTTTCAAATACTTTCATTATTTTTTCCTTACACTTGAGTAACCTACTTGACTATAAAAGGGTTACAGTAGTCCTTTGTTTATCGCAGGGGATCCGTACACTGAAGCCCCGCGATAAGTGAAAAACCACAAAGTAGAACAAGCTCTTGCAATATTCTAAACAATGTTTCTATAACGAGCACAGAATGTCACGATTTCAGCTCTCTGCTTCCAGCTGCTTTCTGCCATATGCCAGCGTTCTCGGCCATGCCCATTTTTCCGCTGCAGAGCGGAGATATGACACGCTGCAGGAGAAAGCTTCTCCTGCAGCTGTGGGCTGCACACAACTAACTAATTTAAAATAATTTATTCTAAATAAAAATTCCATGCCGATCATGAGGCTCATCCATCAATCAGCCAATTGTGTCATATCCAATCTTAAGGCTCCAGTATACTTGCGCATCCTGTCAGCTGCGCTGAAACTGTGTGCACCATCTGCAGAGGGTTGAGACTTCAAACTCAAACATCCACCCTGAGTGGCTGCTGTCAGCTCCACAGACAAGGGGCGTTTACCTTCGGGACAAATTGAGTTCACCAATTGGTCATTAGCTGACCCTCCTACTGGATTGATTGACAGGTCGCAAAAAAATTAAATAAAAGAGAGCTGGCAGCCCCAGCCGCAGTGGTGTTCTGTGTTTATATCTTGTTAATAAAAAGTTCAGGGAGCGCTGGCCCTGCAGCCCACACATCAGACCAGCCCACCAGGAAATCTCCAGACCCTCCTGCAGCCACGCTGGACCTGATTTTAATTTGCTTGTGACAAATTACTTCATTTCTCCCCATTTCAGTCATGGCGTCAACGGAGGAGGAGGAAGCGATCACTTGCCTCTTGAAAAAAAAAGAAAAGAAAAGGCCATTAAACCAGATCAGGGGTGAAGAAGGGAAATTTAATACTTTCGTGTCGCTTACAAAACAGTCCGTCGCCGGGCAGTTTATTTTGCAACACCGAGTACTCGTACGCGGTCGTAGAAATTGAGCTTTGCACAGACATGCCTTGCAGACGTCTGCTTTGAGTTTAATCCGGTATGCGTGGACCCACGTACGTGCGAGTTTACTGGAGGCTTTGCTTTGAACAACCGCGATAGGGCGAGTCCGCAGAAAACAAAACGTGAAGTAGCAAGAGACTACTGTACTGCTAAAGTTTAACCCTCCTACTGCGCTTGAATAGCAGTTTTCTTGATCTGGGTTGACTACAAAAGTTAAATCAGTTCTGTAGGTACATCCAGTGATTGTTTCCAAAGTATTTCAATAAAATTCATCCAGTATACAGGTATACAATAGTCCCTCGCTATTTCGCGGTTCGTTTATCGCGGATTTGCTATATCGAGGTTTTTCAAAATAAGATTGGACATGACACAATTGGTTGATTGATGAATGAGCCATGGATTGTTTATTTAAAATAAATTATTTTAAATGATTTTGCTCCATGTGTGCAGCCCGCAAGTGCAGGGGGAAGCTCCTTCATGCAGCTGATCAGCTGATCTTCTTCTCTGCCATGCACACATTTCTCCTGCTACATCGGCTTTGTTGCTGTCCAGATGCACCAATCAACTTTTGTCTTCCATCATAAAATTCAAAGTATGTCACATTGTACAATTGTCATAATCACAAAATACAAAAGTGCTAAAAGTTATTTTTAATTATTTTAAAACTTCTATGTTCAGTTGTTGAAGTGTAATTTATCAAGAAGTACCTTTGTGCTCTGTGCTGCAGAGCTGAAGCTGTGAGACATCCCTTTGATGTCCTGCTGCACTTCTCTTCTCTACAATTTAAATTTAAATACTGTAACATTTTAAATAAACAATCTATGCTGCATGGATTGTTTATTTAAAATGTTACAGTATTTAAATTTAAATAGTTTATTTAAGGAGGGAGATTGGGAGTAACATGTGATGGATGAGTTAGAGTGATTGTAGCCTGGCACGTCATGACAAAGTTTACTGAACTTGAACTGAACTTGAATTTGGACTACTGTATCCTTACTTTGCGGTTTTTCACTTATGGGTGGGTGTGGTCCCTAACACCCGCGATAAATGAGGGACTACTGTATCATCAAAAAATATTTAGCTAACAGACATGTACAATTGGCTCAAAATAATTATTATAGTAGCTAAATCTGAAAATAAGATTTTGGAAAATCTGTTTACTCTCATAATATGTGATCTAGAGCAGTGGCCCCCAACCACCGGGCTGCGGACCGGTACCGGGCCGTGGGTCAATTTATTCCGGGCCCCACAGAAAAAAACAAAACTTTTATTTTGAAAAATCACCGGATTATCTCCACCACATCTGTCAATGTCTCACTCTTGACGCAGGTCAACATACACAAGTGGTAAGTTTCAGTTTCTGTTAGACGCATGCGCAGATTGGTTCTACATTACCCTTTCGGGTGGAGTAAGCTGTTGGGGGAAGAATCAGTTTTGTTGTGTGTTTCCTTGACTAATGAAGCCTTCTGGACCGAAGGCGAAACGTTTCAGCACAAAAAAAAAAAAAAAACGTCCAGATGACCTGACTGAAAAATGTTAGATTACACTGCATACTTTTCAACCCACCTGACAAAGAGTGACTGTAAAACTATTAACTAAATAAAACTTTAATTTTAAACAAAGCTTCCTAATGTCACATCAGAGCTGGTTTTGCCTTGAACTTTTTTGAATTCACATCAGAGCTGTTCCTTCGCATTTCTGCTTCTGCTCTTAAAAAAAAAAATCTATGCCCCTAAAAGTTCAAAGTCATGGGCAATTTTATTAAAAAACACAAATATAATTAAAGTTTTGCACTATGCATACGTTGCTGCGCTTTTGTGTACAATCTGATGTGTTATTCACTGCGGAGCAGCGAGGAGGATGAGGAGGCACAGCTGACCCCGGTGTGGGATATACTAGTTAAAGGAGAAATGATCCTGCACTTAATACACTTATCCTGATGCATGCTCAATAATTCAGGTAGAAAAATCTAAAAAAGTTCAATCTGGTCCTCTAGACATTCAAAAAAACAAAACAAAGCAAAAAAATCTAGATAAGTTTTGTTTTTCATCCGAGAGACTTCCTCAGTCTGAGGTGCTGTATTCAGCTCAGTCTCTTAAATAGCACCTTCTTAGAGTGGATCAACCAGTTTGCTGCTGACAACCAAAACCAGCTGCTCACATGGTCAAGAAGGACCATCAGCCTAACAATGGATCATTAGCACACTGATGGCTGTTTACTATTCACAGGGGGTTGAGTGATACTAGCAATAACAGCATTGTAAGAGGGGGACAGTTGAACCCGGAGGCCTCCACCCCGTTTAATGATGGATGATTTCTTTTCACAAAGATGGCCTCCTTTACTCCTTTCTCAAACCATACAGACTCTAGAGCAATGTGGATATCCTAACTGGGCCTTCCTGAAAGCAGAGAAGAAACCCAAACAGGACTCCAGTCAGCCATCAGGTGAAAAGGAGGAACCCAGACCCAGACCAGTGGTCATTCCATATGTTGAGGGAGTATCAGAGAAACTGAGACTTTTATTTTCTAAACATAACGTCCCAGTGGCTTTTAAACCCCAAAATCCATTACGGCAAAGACTGGTTCATCCCAAAGATCCAGTCCCCTGGCACAAACAGATTAATATTGTGTATGCTGTTCAGTGTCAGGAGGACTGTGATCAGTCTTACATCGGGGAAACTAAACAGCCACTGGCCAAAAGGATGGACCAGCACAGAAGATCAACATCATCCGGCCAGGACTCTGCGGTCTACACTCATCTCCTGGCCAGCGGTCACTCTTTCAGGGATGAAGATGTTCACATCCTGGACAGAGAGGAACAATGGTTTGAGAGAGGAGTAAAGGAGGCCATCTTTGTGAAAAGAAATCATCCATCATTAAACAGGGGTGGAGGCCTCCGGGTTCAACTGTCCCCCTCTTACAATGCTGTTATTGCTAGTATCACTGAACCCCCTGTGAATAGTAAACAGCCATCAGTGTGTTAATGATCCATTGTTGGGCGGCTGTCGCTGAGTGGTTAGAGCAGTCGTCCTCCAATGCAAGAGTTGGGGTTTCGAACCCCACAACAGTCACATGCTGAAGTGTCCCTGGGCAAGACAC